CAGTTCTCTCTCTCTCTCTCTATCTATCTCTCTCTCTCTCTCTCACACACACACACACACACACACACACACAGCCCCATCCAGCGTCTGAGGACCTAGCTGAGAACAGACAGGACGCCAGCGGGCGCCTGAGTGACAGCTGATGGTCTCCAGAGGCTCCCAGCGCGGCCGCCCTCCCGTAACTGTCTGGGGCATGCTTCTGCCTTTCGTCTGGGGCTTTATTTGCTTCTGCCTGTACAGTTGATCATTGCAACAATGACCCACGGGAACGTGGTAGCTTCCATTCATGTTTGAGTGTAGCTGGAAAGAAAATGAACACAAAGCCCAGAGCTTACGGGGGAAGATCTGTGTCAGAGTAGCATTATTTGGGGGAATCTGGAAATATTGAGATCAGGACGGAAGATGATGCGTTTCGCAGCATGTGGACTTTTGAAGGAGGAATATCTGGGTTCTGATGCTGGCCCCTCTGTTCCTTGTGTGACGTTAGACAGTTCACCTCTCTCTGTTGATTTCCTCAGCTGTAAAATAGGAATCGTCTATAATAATAAAAGCACAATATGCTAATTAGACCAGACATCCTTCTGGACGAAGCTGGGGCTGTGAGGGAAGCCCAGGTCCTGGGTGCCTGCTGGCAGCCAGAAGGAAGCCCGACTCCCGGGTGCTGGAGGGAAACCCAGGTTCCGGGTGCCGGAGGGAACTGGTGCCAGCAGCCGGGGGAACAAAGGCCTATTCTTGCATCAATTTTGTGCATTGGGCCTCTAGTAAAACAATAAAAGCACCTGCCTTACCAGCATATGTGAAGACACAGATTTTTTTTCCATTAAGTTATGTGCATTTATTGAGTACCTACTATGTGTCAGGCACACAGTGGGGATACAGTGGTGAACAGAACAGGAATGAGGGATGTAGCAAAGTGTAGCCCAGCGCCAGGACACCATCCCGCGAAGCAGGGGTAGGGGTCGCTGCTGCTGCTGCTGTTACTTGTCATCTACATTTTGGCCCCTACAGGCCCATCGACACCTCCTCACCGCTTCCCGGGTGGGAAGAGCACAGGGTGTGGTCACCAGGTTTGCTCACCTGGACTGTTTAGATGATTCTTCCAGCTGGGCCGCAGCCGTGGATAGTTGTGGCTCTTCATTCATTTCATGCTCACCACAGCCCAGGGAGCTGGGGACCGTCACTCTCCCCCTTGTCCAGATGGGGCAGTGCTGCACAGAGAGGTCGGCCTCTTTCCACAGGGCACACAGCCAGTAAGCTGAGGGGCTGGGATTGGGACCTAGTCTGCCATGATGTTGGCCTGTGCTGTGCTGGCTCTCTCTCTCTCTTGAAAGCTTGGCATGGGACCTGGCATAAAATAAGCGCTCTGCACACGGAAGAACCCAGACATCCCACCAGTGTTCTTTGTTATGCTACATGTACGTTATGTTACAGATTTCCCAGAATTTTGCGCCCGTTTCCTGGGGGGCCTGGAGGTGGCCGTTGGGTCTGAAGAGAGCGATGTTGGCTTCTGCTTGTCCTGCTTATGTTCTACCTTTTCACTTTGTCAGTAGAATGCAGTTACGGGTCACAAGCAGCAGCAGAGGCGGCGGAAGCAGTGGTGCTGCTAGTGTCATGGGGATTTTGATGATGAGAAGATCCTTACTCGGCACCAAAAAGCAAACGTTTTAAGTGCATACATGTCCTAAGAAAGTGTACGCAGGACCTGGCGTGGTATTCACTGCAAGCAGGTGCACAAAGAACAATAGATGCTGTACCAAAGGCAGTGCCCGTGAGAACAGACTGAGAGTTGGAGATAAGGGGATGGAAAGTATTCCAGAAAGCCCAGCCGGTGTGGCTCAGTGGTTGAGCATTGACTATGAACCAGGAGGTCACAGTTCAATTCCCGGTCAGGGCACATGCCCGGGTTGTGGGCTCGATCCCCAATGTGCAGGAGGTAGCTGATCGATGATTCTCTCTCATCATTGATGTTTCTATCTCTTTCTCCCTCTCAAATATCAGTAAAATTATATTTAAAAAATAATCATAATAAACAAATTTCCATGGAAAAACTGATTTCTGCCGCAGGAACTACTCCTGTTCCCTGGATATTGTAGTTCCTGGCGCTAATTATTTTTTAAAGCAACTTTACTGAGGTATAACTTACATAACAGAAAATTTTCCCATTTTAAGTGTGTCATTCAATGAGTTTTAGTAAATTTACGGATTTGTACAGCCATCACCATATTCAACATTTCCCTCATACTCATTACCAATTAACCTCTGGTGCCCCCTCCCGGTCCC